GTTAATTTCTACTGGATCTCACTGTACGATAGATTTTCCAGGTTCTCTGGGCTTACGAGGATCTTGAGAGAGTCGTTGAGTTCAGGCCCCATATAAACACGTGCGTACTGTGCGTGTTCATTTTCGGGAATTCGGCTCAGCTCCAGCGCCCAGGTGAACTGTGTAAAATAGTCTGCTATAGTTGTTCCGTCGGCGGCGCGATATGCTGACATGGAAAACTGTGGAGGACGAGGCTGCGCCGGTGCCGCTGCCGTTGATGCGTTGTTTCGGGTTGACGCTGTAGACTGTCGGATAGCACTGGGTGCATCTTAGATACCGTCTGTAGAAGGTCCGGCAATACATTTTGAACCATATCTAGGAGGGGCGATGAGCTGCTTCTCTAACCCGCAGCGTTGGTCTGTGTTCGCGAGTCGCGCGCGTGGTCGCGTTAGTCTCGTAAGCGGTAAGGCACGTTGAGGTACTGATCGTCACGTGATCGAGTTGAGGCTATATGGTGCCATTAGGGTCGTAACTGATATGGAACGTGGTCACATTCAGGTTATGATCAACACGTTGTCGAGGTAAGGTTATTATTGAAGCGTGGTAGAGTTGAGGATATGATCGACACGTGGTCACGTTTCACACCTTTTCACACAGATCGAATATTATTTATCTATCCCACTTCTGACACCACTGTAATGTTCTTGGGGATGATAAATAATTCATTCGAAAAAGTTAAAGTATAAAACGTTTATTGTATTCACAATACATAATAGGTAAGAACGCGCGACAACTTATTAACGGTCGCAAAACGTCGGGGAGAACGTCCGTCCGCTACATTGACGGCGAGAGACTCAAGCTCGTTGCAGAAAGAAAATGGCAGACTGCGCCAGTACATCGCGTGCTACCAACTGTTGAGCGCCAAATCACTAACAGCAAAAGAGGAATACATTTAGGGTGCATATCCAACACCTAGCAGAACAAATGAGGATTACAATACCCCATTTTCTATTTGTGAAATGTGCTCTGCCCTAGTGCTTCTGAAAAGAACAGCCTCAGTTGCGGATGAAATTCATAACCTAACACAACAACATCTCTCTGAAACGACCATGCAATTTATCTTTCGGTTCTACAATCGTATCTGGGAACAGCACACCATCCCTGCTGTAAGGCGAGAAGTCATCACCATCACAGTTCACAAAGAAGGGAGATTTCGATCAAGTTATCGAATCATATCACACATAAGCAGTGTATGCAAAGTGCTGGAACGCATGGTGAATCAGCCTTTGATCTATATCTTGAAGGCAGTGACCCAACTAGAAAAAGTGAAAGTTGTATCAAGAAATTATATGAGTTATTTTATTTCAACAAATAACAAGAATAACGTTTAAACTAGAAAAAGTTTTTTGGATGTTCGGACAATGCAGATGATTCGGATGATGCGGACGTTTCGAAAACCAGGTATCTCCCACCAGCGAGGCACCCCCCCCGCCGGGACAAAGACTTAAGCTCTCGTCCGGTCCCCGGCATGTGTTAGTGTAGTGCATGTAAGTCTAAGTGTGTGCATGCAAGGGGTAATGATAGGACAAGGAAGAGAAAGGAAAGATCGCGCACGGGTCCTTCGTTAGGATATTGCTCCGGCATTCGCCTGAAGTTAATCGAAAAAAAACACGGAAAATTACCGGTCAGTAGAATTCTCCTACACACAGTGATGAAATACCACCTAGCTTTCTAGTTAGTATCTAAAATCTTGCAACCTCGGTGATCAAACCTAGGACCTCCCGGTCAGAGGCACTGCAGTAACATTAGTTGCTGCCCTAAAGTCACCTTTTCCGGTACGAACTAAAAAGTAGATAAATCTTGTTCCCATAGTAACTTCCTTTAACACCTCAGAATCCATGTTTTCTGGGTTCTTGATATCCAAAAATCAATTGCTGGCAAAACGTTAATCCGTTCGTTCGTCTACGGCTAAGGCTAGCGCCTAAACCGGTCAGCCAATTTTCTCCAAAATTGATATTCACCGTTCGAATTAAATGAACTCGAGACCCTCTTGAGTTTGAAATGGATATTTTGAGAAACTTTACATGTAGCTTCAACTTTTGAAAATTTTCTAAAAAAGGCTCCAAATTCTTGAATTAAACTTTGTTCTCGAACAACTTAAAGAACTCTTAAGAGAATGGTGCAACTCTTATTTTCGTTAAAATTCCCAATTATTTTGAAAATTGTAAAAGATCGAATTTTTTCGGCGTCTTCCTACAACTAAAATATTAAAGATAGATATTTCTTCCTTTAAGAAAACATTTTTTAAAAACAGGTCTTGAAAAGTCATGTACAATTCTCCAGAAATATGATTAATTTTTGTGTAAATGTGCATAAAATAGGGCAATTTTTAATTTTTTTAAAACAATTTTTTCGGAAACCGCTCTTAAGTTGTTCTTTAAAATTTCTGCGGTGTGAAAGGACGGTAAAAAATTAATACTAGTCTCATTTCCGGCGAACTTAATTACGTAAGCAGTACCCGAGATAGTAAAAAATGTCTTTTATGGTAATTCGCACTTTGGCAAAAGATTGCAGTTTTTTGGTAACATCTTTTGGAATCGTTCTATTTCATTTTGAGGGATATGCACTTCTGGGTACTTAAATTATTCAGAATTTCGATTTTATTTACTTTCAGTGTCACTGCAATATTCGGCGCCGTTACGTTTTGTAAAATTATTTCGAATTAAAAATCCATAGAAATTATTTTTTGGGGGATTTAAAGAGTAATTTCTAGTTTAAGTATGCGGGTAATATTTGAAGAAACATACAGGGGAATTAACTATGTCCATACTTCGCTGCAAGCAGCAAGGATTGACAGTCCCAGGGAGGGAAATGGAATCGCAGCAGAACACGGCGGAAGCTTTTCGCAAGTTACATACGCACCATCAATGGGTTATATGGGTCATATAATTGAATGAAGTATTATTTCGCACATTTTATTTTAATATCAAAGATAAATTAAATAATTCTGATAAGGACTGGGGGCAGCCCCGCAGCCCTCTCTTCCACCAGCTGCCACTAAATCTATGTAAAAGTAAATTGACGCGTCAATAGGCAAATAAGGATGGATCTTTAATGCTTTAAAGTGTAGTTCAGGGATTAACCGTTTGTATCTCGCATCCACTATGCCACTATTTTCATTTTTGTAATAATTATTTTCAAAGTGCAGAATATTCACCCGGGTCCAATTAGTCTCTTCTATTATGTTTAGATATCAAATGTAAGTTAAGTAACACCATACACTAGTCATACGTAAAAAAAAACACTTTGAAGAAATAGTTGATATTGATGAATGATATTCATCTCCTATTTCTGAGTGTTCATATATTTTTATCATCTGACCTCTTCTCAAGAAATGTGGTTCGCCTCATTAGGCCGTGGATGTATTATTATCTATTTTTCTGAGGGCGTGGTTGATAAAATAATTGGGGTAAGATAATACGCCTCACTAGGGTGCCAGAATACAACCAGCCTGCACCTAACTTGGTGTGTGTTTCTGCGCTTTGAACAAGTACGTCTGTTTCACTCAACACAACCAGACCCACCCAGATAGCGATAAAACATGCAGCATGTCTGACGCAGGCACCATGCAGGATGAGAGTCACTTGCATTCCCGATTGTTCCGACAAACAAATATTAGTAGCCGACCACGGCAAAAACTAGTCACATTCTTCCAGATTTTCTTTGGATCTAACTACCATATGACGTGTATTTTACATGTTCATTTTGCAAACTTTTAACTGTTTCTATTTTAAAATTATAATTGGATTTTATTTTTACAAAAGAAAATAAGCATCATAGTACAAAAGAATATATGCATCATAAACACGTATCTACATCAATATAAACTAGTACTAATAATTTTTTGCTTTTCCTGTCGCATGTTTCAAATCCTCCTAAACTGGTTGTTGGATATAAATGAGACAGACCCAGCCTAGGCACAAACCTATGAAGAATTTATTATTATTATATTATTATTATTATTATTATTATTATTATTATTAATTATTATATTATTATTATTATTATTGATTTTTACCCTAAAGTCTTCTACACTACATTATAAAATTAATATAAAATTTATATAATGCTTCCATGATATTATATTTAATAAGATAATTGAATTTTAAATTTTTAATTTATATCTTGTATTTAATTTTAGAAATATCTGTATTGTGTATTGTATGATTATATACATTACCTAACTTGTCATACATGGCGTATGCTGTAATTTATGTGACCAAAATTTTTTATTTATTATTATTATTATTATTATTATTATTATTATTATTATTATTATTATTATTATTTTTTTGTATGATAGTTTCAAGTTGGGCATTTAGTATTTACGTTCGCGGTTCCTTACTGATGTAACGTAATATAGTTGGATTCGTAAGTTTCCATACATTGTAAAACATTGGAGACGCTTTGGTCTACGCGTTTGACCAACAAATTAAAAAAAAAAAAAAAAAAAAAACGACGTGCAAGTATGTTTCTTTTGGAACCAAACTTGAAAGGGTCAGCCACTGAACTGTGCTTACTATACAATATTACTATCTGAATGTGGCGTAGTCGCTTTAAAATGTTTTAAAAATATTTTCATTCTTTCCATGCGAAATGAGAACCTTTTGAACTTCCCGTTGCGTTTTTGGAGATTTAGCTTTTCTGGGTACCCTCATTTTGAAGCATGCGTCTACTATTATAGAAGAAACTCGAAATCTATTAAAAAATAAATTAAGAGATCATGATGGAACAATATTGCTTTAATGTACTGTTTAGACGCTACCCGTTCGAAGTTCAGTATGAAGGTATTTGATCTTTTAAAACAATGATTTACAAGGTGCGGAATGTTTGCACGAGCCTATTTATATAAATATATTCATAATCCCGGGCTCATGTACAACCGGAACCAGAAACTAACTTGTGTACAACCGAAATCGCCTAAAGCCTATATTTTGATTGGACGTAAAGCACTGTGCTCTAGATTGCATTTGACATTGGTGCGTTGGTTAACGTTGCTCTTATGTTTTTGGTAATGTCAAAGTTAGGGAAGTGTCAAGCGGTATTGTGGTTATAAAACTTTCAGAAGAAAAAAAAAAAGAAGATAAACACTGACAGTTATATTATAATAACAGGGAACGGCGGATGGTGATGTGCAGGGTAAAGAGTGTTGTCGGTATGGTATTTTGGGTATGGTGTGGTGGGGATTCGGACTCGATGGACCTTTCAGACAGATTGCAGATACCTGTTCGTATTGTACCGGATCGTGCTGCTTGTTTATCGAAGCAATTTGAAAGTTGTGGCGACGTGAAAGAAGGAACTGACAGAAAAATGGAATCATAATTGTGATTTATTAATTGAAATTGAGGCGTAATTATTTGGATATAATTGACACGACGGTTCCGGGCCAGCGGATGTTAAATTTGTGAAGCAATATTTGGAGAAGCTGACTGTCATAAAACAATTTGTGGATGACGTTTTATTTGTGTCTCTTGGTGAATCAGTGTGCAAGATGTTTCCCTATATTTGGATTTAACCTCTTGGAATTCAAGAAAACATGTTTTTGTTATGTACGTTAACCTCATGATCCATACTTGAAACTATTGCGAACGCCGGTTTTGATCCATCAAGTGTTAGCAGAACAATCTGGAACATGGAAGGAGTTTCAGGAGATTTACAAACAAAGTATCAGAAAATAGCAGCCGAATATTCGAAGGTGAGAGTGCCTACCGATTTTTGAATTGGTTTTATTATGTTAATATGGTTATAAATGTGTATTTTTTTATACTACTCTAGATTCGAGCCCAAGCTAATGTTTTGAAGAAAGCTGTTGTGGATGAGCAGACTAGAAATGCAGAATTACGTGACCTCCTCAGAGAAAAAGAACAAAGTCTACGAAAAGCTGACCAAGAAATGGACAGCTTAACATTTCGTAATCAACAACTCACAAAACGTGTCACAGTTTTACAAGAAGAATTAGATGTTTTACAAGTAAATGTGATTGAAGTGATCTAGTTATTTCTTAGTTTAGTAATGTAAATTTTCTGACAAATTATTGACTAATCCTGCTTGGTTTCAGTGTCGACATAAGAAAGGTAAAAGTAAGAGTGGTGACACTCATCAAGGATCAGATATAGGGAATCATGTGATTGATGAAGAATTTCACAAGACAGTTTATGAAAATGCTCGTCTTTTATCATTGGTTTGTATGACAAATATGGTAGATAGTGATTTGAATAATTATTTGGTAGAAATGCAGTTTGTGATTCGATTTGTTCATGTGTGCAGAAGAGTGACACTTTGCTACACATGTCCAAGTCGAGGACAAGGCGTGAGACTTTGGTCCTTGTGTTAATATAAAATATTATTGATTCTGTCCAATGCATAATTAGGAACACACTTTATGCAATACTCACTTTAAAAATTGTTCTTGCATATGTTCTTTATGTTCTCCACATATAATCGTAGAAATTCCTTCATGATCTGTTCGGTCTGTTTGTTTTCTGTTCCGTGCAGATGAACGAATCTGATCACAAACTGCAATTTTTTTGCGTATTTACTAAAATAATAAAAAATATTGCTAAACAATTTTGGTGGCGAAAACCTTATCGTAGAGTTTTCAAATTTATTTACTTAAAATGTATTTTAGTAATTATTGTGTTTAGAGATTCTTCATTAATTATTCTAATTCTTCAGAAGAAAAACTTCATAATACTTTTGTGAACATCTTGAAGGACTTGTAAGAGTTCTGGGTTAGCCTTTACTGAATTAGAACCATTCTGATAGGTGGTGCCTGAGAGCACTACTTAAATGGTGAAGAGACCGGGGACATACCTGAATGTATATTTTGGCATAAAAATGTGTGAATAAGTATGTGTTTACTTAATTTACCAGACTTGATTGTAAATTACTTAAGGCCAGAGCTTTTTCATGTTGGAATGATGACACTATCAACTAGGCTAGTGTATGTATATGAACATAATAAGGTGCTGGAAATTTACTATTTTCATAAAATAGATTGTTTTGAGGTAATTTCATTTACCTTTATATGTGAAACACAGGACAAAAGCTGCATTGAACTGCAGTGCAACACCACCAAAAGCATTGGTGAAATAAAGATTTTCCAAGTTGTAAATTGCATGTAGTATTCTTTATAACGAAATAAGAAGAAATGTTTCTTTTCATTAATGATATGAATCATGATTAATTTATTTTAGATGCATGATAAGGATGCTGCTCATGAGGAAGAAATGACTGCCCTGAAACAGCGTTTGGAAAGTTTGGAACATGAGTTGCATCAAAGACATGCTGTTAATAGTGATGCAGAGATGAAATATAAGGTAGTAAATTTGTTTACTAAAATGTAACATAGGAACTATTCAGTTAATTGCTCTAGAAACAAAATATGGCCATTTAATTAACTCATAATTTGCTTCATTGATTATGTTTGTACACTGTAAAGAACAACAAACAAGAGTAGACTTGTGCCAGCCTTTCATTAGGTTTTCTATTCAATTATCCACTCTATGCAAAGTGGTTGATTGGCAAAGTATTATGTAGAAGTTTGTTTCATATTTATTATCTTGTTCATTTTAGCTATTTGAAGTCCACACGTCATTAGTTTCCAAGAAAAGTGCCATGTATCAAAAATTGTGTTTTTGCAGGAGTATGGTTTGAACCTGTTTGGAACCATTCATTTTGCAGTCAGACAAAATATTTTACTCTATATTCTTGCTGTCATATTAACTATCTTAAAAAAAACAAAACTGTTTCTAGTAAAGGAGATTATCTCGTAAGAACATTTCTTCACAAAACTAAAAATTGACTGTTTTGGGGAAAGGTAACATTTTTTGCATTACCACAGTGTAAGAGGAGAGGTGTGTCAAATTGCTTTTCTTTTCTTGAATTTTCCGAAATCTATTTGAGGCTAGTTCCTCTTCATGTGATGTGCAGGATATGACTTGGGTATTTGATAGCATCACATAGTTCTAATATTTAGTTTTTTACTCATAAATTCTGCAAACTTTGTAGTCATTTAGAATTAAAAAGTTCATTTAAATACTTTTCATTTGAAATTACTCTTAAGTAGTACAAAAAAATCCATATTTACAATAAATGTTATACTTTTAATTTATTCTTTAATTGCACAATTTAACTCTTGGGCATTTAAAATTTGTAACTGATATATAGATAATGAATACTTCAGTTGGTTAGATTACTCAATATGGACTTGTGAAATTTTATAAATTACTTACTGATTTAGAATAATTTTTAGTGTGTTTTCTTACCACATTTCTTATAATATTAATAATCCTTTCACTGCTGAAGTGTTTTTCTCTAAGTTAAATTTTACTGTCATTTCTTTTTTTTTTTTTTTTTTTTTTTTTTTTTTTTTTTTTTTTTTTTTTTTTTTTTTTTTTTTTTTCCTTTCTTTCTTTCTTTGCCTTTTCCCATTATTAGGGGTTGGCGCTAAAGGGTGCAGGCTCATTTTTTTTATTAATTATCTGCATACCTCATTTTCACTCAGATTTGGTGATATTTTTATGGTTGGATGTCCTTCCTGACGCCAATCGCATGGGACACACAAGCACATTGCACATAGACACCACTCACAGTCACAAAACACTCACAACCATGCCCAAGGAGCAACTCGAACCTGCCATCCATCAGTCCGAGATTGCTATGGCACTACTGCCTTAATGATCTCAGCCATCAGGACGACTTCAATTTTGCTATTTAATTGCCTCGTTTTTCAAATATTGGCACAAGTTATACCAATTTCTTTTGAATACCTTCACACTTGGCGTTGGCCAACATGATTACTTGACAAGATTTACATAAATCACTAGGACTACCACAAATTGTAACAAAACAATTTCAGTGCATTTTTCTAAACACCTATATTTATTTTGCCACGTGAATTATAGTCATAATCGATGCTAAGGGGCATGTTGAGAGGGATCTTTCATTGTTCTTGTTGAAGTTTATCAATAATCCACTGCAGGAACAAGCTATTCATTCTTATCGTATTGTCTATGTACCCCAGTGGCTAAAGAATGTTATGGTTGGTTGAACTAGGCAGGTAAAGTTCATCATTCTACAAACCATTACAAAACAGCATTGACTGTGTGCCAGTGCTTCTTGGAATAGCACATTGTTAGAGGCTAGTCATAGAAATACATGCTTCTTTGGATCTTCTTATGAAATCTAGGAGTTAAGTCTAAATTAATAATGACTTCATTATTATACATTGCTGTCCAAACTGTCACAAATTTGCTTCCATTAAGTTTGTAGTGCAATGAAGGGGGCTGTCAGGGGTTGCTGCTCAAATCCCAAAGTTAGATATCAAGTTTATTAAGTTCTTGTTTAAATAGGTTTCTTGACATGTTCATGGAAATATGCAGTCACTTTCACTTAGGAAGTTTAACAATACTTAATGACACTCCTTGTTTGAATTTAGTAATCACTCTCTCTCTCCAGCCCTCTTTTCTTCCTTCTCTTTCTTATGAAGTTCTCAATTTGTTAATAAGAACAATCATTCAAAATGCCATGAAGGGACGGAGTAACTCTGGGAATAAAATAATAGGAAATTTATTTCTCTACAAGATGTGGGAAGAAAACAATTCTTAGAATGAGTTAAATATTTCATCTTGTTGCCCATTCTAATAACTAGCCTGCCACTGTTTTTATTGTTTTTTGTTAATAACTGTTTCTTTGTGCAGGCTGTAATTGATCAACTTCAAGGGGAGAAACAACGTCTCACTCAGAATGCAGAATCACGAGCACAAGTGTTGGAACAAACTTCACAGGACCTTCAGCAGTTGCAACAGCAGCACTCTCAGATGAAAGGGGAACTGGGAGCACAATTGGATTCTGCTCATTCCATTATTTCTCATCATTTACCCTTTGTTGATTCCAGTGAGTTGTGGAGGACATTTAATTGTAAATTTTGTAAAATAGTTTTTGTTTCTTTGATATTTGACTGCTATTGAATTTAACTGAAAGTTAGTTTGGGGTATTATTGGTGGTGGACTAAGAAGTGGTAGAAGCATTTATGTTGGAACTAACTAATGAGAAGGCAATTGAAATACGTTTGACTCCTTCAGTTTCTGTGGAGATTAAAAATATGTGTAATATTCATACCTAGTTGAGAATGAATTCTTTTCTGGTAAATTAATTGCATGAAGGTAATTAGGAAAACACATCAAAAACACAAAAACAACAGCAAAAATGAAGTGGAGAAATATAAAAAAAAGTAACTACTCATTGCTGTTGTATTATATGGATGTCAAACTTTTTCAACTGCAGACAATGGTATGTTTTTGTTACTACTTCTGGTTTTAATTTTTAGTTGTTTTTAATTTTAAATTTCCAGGCATCTCAGAGACTAACGTTTCTCACTTTCTTTAGACTATTTTCTTTCTAATCTTACTTTCTTCACTTTTTCCTGCCAAAACTCCTTATTCTTGCTTTTTAATTTTTCCCCCCCTGAAAATCATTGAATTATTAATATATTTTGTTATGTATAATCTCATAAGTGTAATAATAATTCTTCCAAATCTAAGGCAAGAAAATTGAGAAAAAAGTCAGTACAGTTGGAAAACTTTTCTAATATTTCATTTATATAACAAACCTTTCTAACATTTTGAAAGAAACACAGAAGTGAAGTGAAGTGAAGTGAACTGAACAGGCTCACTAGCTTGGAGAGTAGGTAGGGGAGTAAAGAAGGGTGGCGCCTTCTTGATAAGAAGGGTACATGCACTGCCAGGAGAAATTACAGGAGTATTATACTCCATATGACCGTAATGCAGCATTATTATGGTCAAGGTAGAAAAAATAGACAGCTAAAGGTAATCTTAGAATTTGACAACTTATTCCTTGTTTCAGTGATTCTTTGGATAAATGCATTCACATTTCCTTTTACAGTTATATTAGGATCACATAATTGGCATTTGAAATTAAGTGACGTGGCATGTGAAGTCTCTGCTGGGTAATTTTTGAATTTGATCGAAAAGAATATGAAGTTTGCAGACTTTGACAATGTTAAATGTAAACATTTTGTGTTTTTATCACAAGGACAACTTTGATTGTCCATTATTTTTTTAATCGCTGGTTGTGATATTGTCTTAAGGGAAGGTAGTGAAAGCTCTAACAGATGAAACTAGACCATAATTACTCGAATATAAGATGAAGAAGGCTTTGCCAAAACATTTCGTTTGAAAAAAAAATGAGGTAACTTATGACTCGCAGATTAAGCTTAGTCAGTGAGGATATAGGTTTATACATTGCCTTTCTATGTCACAAAACTCATAAATGTTAACATAATAATTATGAATAATGTAGTGAAGGTGATGAAAATATCATATGTATCTGTAATACCTTCATTATATTCTCGATATCCACTGCGAATTTGCTGGGCTATTCAGGCCAATATTTTTAATGGGCCAGTAAATGGAAAATCTCAAATGAATGCCACTGAAAGGGAAATGCAATGTGAAAATAAACAAAAATTATAGCTGAGATTTTGTTATACAATGTGCTGATGTAAAAAGGCAAACTCTTGGTTCAACACCTGGCAAATGAGAATCTGCGTTTTACAATAAGTAAATAAAATAAAAAATCCACATTGATAGAAGTAGACATTCTATATTCAACCACAAAGAAGAATTATAAGAAAGTAATATCTTGGCTAAAACTTTCCAAACATGGAAACTTGCTGCTATCTCTCACGTTACCTGCAAAACAGATGAATGGGGAACGACTCCTTAGTTCAGAATGCAAACTTTAAACAATGTGAATTTCAAAAAACATTCATATATGGAATATGAGAGAACTATTAAAAAAATTAGAGGCAAGCAAGAGCAGCTAAGGACGACTATGGTAACACAGAAGGAAATGTTCTTAGCAAAAGGTGAAAGAACGCAAATTGAAGGCCCAAACCTTACTTAAGGGCCTAAAAGTCACAGGACAAAGCATTATGGGAGGAGACCCAAGAAAAAAAAAACTAGTGGTGTGACAGAATGGCACAGATTTTCTCACCCTAGTTAGTTTACTAATTGCTTTAGTCTAGGCTAGCTTTCTGAAGTTGTCTCACCCTCTTCTCATTTGCTATCTATTGACATCAAAACAAATTTTTTTTAACATCATCTTAATTTTTCAGTGCCTTAATGGTAGAATTGAAATACGTCTTTAAGGATATTGCCGAAGAGTAAAACAGTCCGATATGCACATTTTAATTGAAAAATTTGCAGTCAATGTGAGGAAATATCATTTGAGCATTTCTGAAAATGTGCAATTTTGAGCTAATTTTCACGTACAAGTTTTGAGATTTCAAGAAACTACATCAGAGGTCATTTGAATCACTTGTGTTCACAAATGCAATAATGTATAGTAAATAACCAAAATGTAAATTTTAGTGATGTGTGTGATTTAAAAATAAATTATATTTGTGTAATTTTCAAACAATCAAAAGAATAAATCAAAATGACATTGGTGTTTTGTATCTGTTTTTTTAAGTGTCCGCTATCTTCAGACAAAGTTTCATTAAAAAATTTGGAGCCATGATTGAAAAAAATTTGAAAATTTCAGGGCTTCATGTAAAGTACCTCTGAAAATAAAAATATCGGTTTAAAATTTAAATGGCTCCGACATCAGCCAGATTAATTGGGCAGTGTCGATTTTGGTGGAAATCCTGCTTACAGTTTAATCACCAGCATTAATCACAGATGGACAGATGTTTTGATGTAAACCAATTTTATCAGGTACTGACGTATCAAGGACCAACAATACATGGAAGTAATTTACTACATTTGAGAATAAGAAAGATCTACATTTTTGGTATCAGGGACCTACAATATTTCTGCCGAAATATCGCCTTTTTTCACTGCAGCATTACATAAATTTCTCTTTACTGTGTATGTAGTACGCAAGAAAGTAAAAATGATGACACGTGTAAAGTTGAAGTAAGTAGTGACAACAATGAGTATGCTGATTGAAAGGAACAAGACTGTAATGATAGTTCAGGTAATAGGTTTTAACATGCTCATCAAGATCACAATTTTCTTTTGAGTTACACATTTTGCAATTTTGTTTTGACTAAATAGTAAGAATTAGTTAAATTTAAAAAAATTCTCAGTATGCTTTTTTAAAATTTGGGGTGGTGTAGAATTCAGTCACTTTTAGTTCAGTGATACTTACAGTCGGGTAAATACGGTAAGTAAAGTCACTCAACATTTTCCTGTGTAATATTGATTTTTCTGTTCAGAATCATATTCACACAGTACTGCAATATAAAGTGATGGCTACAGTTGGATACAGTTTTACACGATGTGGTGCTAAAATACAAACAATTGGAATTTTTAATTCATGTCTTACAGGTCTTTCATTGTAAGTTGTTATTGGTGTTGATGAAAGCCACATGCTAGGTACAAGAAAACTCATAATTTCAAAATGGCCAAAGTGTGAATAACTGTGGTGAATGACTGAAGAGACAATATTATCTGAAGTTCTCACACTGGGTGTTTTTGGAAACTGAATTAAATATGTTCTTTAGATACTGTCAATGTAGCAGCTGTGCTCAATGTTGTTGCTAAGTAGAACACTTCTAAGAAGTCTGGAGAAAGATCTGCTAAATTATGACTAGAATTGTACTGAAAAATACATACCATGACTTCTTGGACAAACATAGAAAGGCCTCTGCATTAGTTTTGGGAAAGGATTTCTTTGAGAAAAGGTGAACTGTAACAAAAGAATAAGTATGTTTGGGCTCTGACATACAGAGTGAAATTATGAGTGGAAATTGTGGCTTCAGTGAGGTGTTTTAACAGGATGGTCAACTGGCATATCCCTTACAAGTATTATGATTGCAATATACCTGTGTGCTTTACATCAAATCATTTCACTCTTGAAAAGTCACAACTGATATACAAAATTATTCTAAAATATTTTTTGAGCCTCGAATTTTTGTTGTTGTTGTTGTTTTTTTTTAATTTTAAAAAGTGTTATATTTGTTCGAATTTAAGTATCACACACTATGTATTTTCATTGTGTTAGATATATGAACTTCATTGTTTTTTTTTATCCTCTTCTAATTTTCAGAAAATGTGGAACTCAATGAACTTAATGTTCCTCTTCATGATAGAAAACATCAGTTGTATGCACTTCATGTTATTGCTCAGGCTGGTTTGCATATTAGAGATTTGACTGCTGCCTTATCCGATTTTCATACATATACTGAGCAAAGGCTGCATTACATGAGTTCTGCTGAACTCAGCCCGATTAATCTTAAGGTACATATTATTTTCCTTGTGAGTTGAACATCAGTTTTTCAATGTATATCTTGAATTTTCCGTATCAAAATGCTGTGGAGCACTTCATAAACAGTCACCACTTTTTTGAGGGAAAACTTTATCATTTAGAAGCACGGGCTGATTCAGAAAGTATTTTTTACAAGGTATTTATGGGGATTCCCTTTCTTTGACTTGGATCTACCACTGTTTAGATAGTAGGTCCCATTACATTTATTATTTATAAACAATGAAACAATAATTTTTTACTTGCGTGGGTGCGTATGTCTACTAAATTTTTTTTTTATATCAGGTAAGATTCATTGTTTTATGTATAGAAAGACACATAGAGAAAACACAGATTGGAATATTGTAAAGAATGACAGAAAGACAAAAATGTTCATTGATCAAAGCAATAGTGAATCGACAGTATCATTAGGCATATTATTTAAGATTTATGGCAGTTGTATAGGTCAACTTCAAAGATTTAATATTAGTTGTCATCGTATTAACAATTCTTTAATGGATGGGAACTATTTTCCTTTTTTAACATGTAATATTGAGGAATATATTGTGTTATATAATAAATCTTTGTCTTTAAAAATGTAGCTAAAGGAATGTGTCAAAAAATTTCACAGATTTTAATGACAATTGGGTGTATTCCTTATTATCAAGAACACTTTGCTCTTTTCAAACCAAAATTTAAAGAAAAAATTTGAACTTTTTTTGAGAAAATCTTAATTTTTTGTCACGGTTTTGCTGAAAATTACATAAAAACTACTTTTGTTTCAAAATCACTGTACATGTCATTATTTCAAAATATAATTTAGAAAAACATATTTCATTAAGAAAGAAAAACTTATCTTAAATGTTTTTAGCTTCATTTTTTCTTCTCTACATAAATTCTGAAATCACTTTTGAGAAGCTTTGGAGTTTGGGCAATTGCTTTATTTCATTCTTGTTAACTTTAAATTTATTAGCTTATCAATAATGATTATTTATTATTAACTTTTGTGAAATAATTGCCCTAATAATGGTGATGAATAGATATTTGTTATTTGTATATACCATATGGTTGTAAATTCAATTTTTTTTAATAATGTTATATGAATGAATTATACTCATTTCATCAAGAATTACAGCAATTTTTTCTTTGCATTTATTATTATTATTATTATTATCATTATCCAAATTAATTGCCACAAACTGTAGTTAAACAATAACTTGGGAGGAATTTTCTTTTCCTCGTTCCCCTCATTTTTGGATGCATAATAAATAAACCTTCATCTCGATCAGGTTTTTCATCCAGTTTCCCTTGACCATTGAATGCTTCCATTGAGCAAATACTGAGATGGCTCCTATTTTGTTTCTGGACACACATTTGGTTGAGCTCTGCCTTTGCTAGTAGTGGTAGGAATTGGGTCTGTTCATGTGATGTTATTTTGCCAGCAATACTATCAAATCAAATCTGTAGTTTGTTGACCAACGCAAATAAGTTTTGGATTACTCAGGAGTGATAAATTATAGTTTTTAAATGTTTCTACTTTGGTTTTGTTTGTACCTTCATTAATCTAATTTTAATGTATTCACTGTATTCATTATACTAGTCAAATTAGTCTAATCAATTTGACTAATGTAGTAAAAGGGTAGGGTGGGAAGTTTGCAGCTCAAGAAAACATTCGCAGAAGGTGCTCAAAATCTGTGTGTCTGTATCATGTATGGGAAATTAAAGACCCATATCAAAGTGTAGTGTCGTTCCTGATCTTTTTTGAAAACTTTCTTACTACAGTAAAACTTCACTTATGGTTTTCAAAGGACTGAAGGGAAAAATATTTAAGTGAGAATAACACATAACAGAAATTGAATCTTGTGAGCAAAACAAAAACTCAATATTTTTACATTGGCATGCTTCATTCTTGAACCTGCTTGCAAGATGTTACTTTTGATTTATTGAGTCAAAGAACAGTAAAAATTGTATGTTATGTATGAAGGAGAAGTACCATCTGCACATGTTTTCTCTTCCCAACATTTTGACTATAAATTGTGGAATGATAAATAACGGTTTTAAAAAGGACAAAGTTAGCAAGTTTTAAAAACCGAACATTTTTGTTCTCGAGTTATAGAAAACGTATTTGCATCTGTAATCTAAATGCAGGTGTTGTTTTTTTGCGTGTTTTGTTCGTTCGTTTTTTTAAAATTATTTTTTATTTCTAACAAAATAATTACACACCCTGGTTCTACTGTTACCACTACTAGCAAAAATGGTGAGCTCAACAAAACATGTGCATAGTGAAGCTACATTTATGTCCAGAAGTAAAACAGGGGGCCATCTCAGCATTTGCTCAATGAAACAGGAAAACTGGACAAAAACCTAAATGATACTGGAGGCTGAAGTACATTACTTGTTGCTTAGAAGACTCGCAGGTCAGGCATAGCCACACCTGGTGGAAAAGATAGATTCGCACTTTATGGAGCCAGTCCTTTAGACCCATGTCACACGAGCGTTGCATGACCTAACCTGAGCGGTACCTACCGCTGATGACGCCGATGCCTGCACACATGAATGTCTTGACGTGCGTTGTTCTCACTTAGGGCCACTAATGTGTCTTATCTTTTTAATGACATAAAATTATTTCTTCATAAGTGAGCATTCCCACTATTTGCTGCCGATGATGTGAAATTGTAAAGTGTGGTATCAGGGTTTAATAAATTTTCTGCATTAAAATTAAAAGTAAATCATGTAGTTGGAAAACAATGAAATTTTCAATAGATTGACTTTAATTACAAAATTGAAAACCAGATGTTAGAGAGTGATTAATTTTATGCTTGGCATTGTATTTGTCTCAAAATTGTAATTGACCTAGACATCAAATAAGTCTTATCTAAGGCCAACCAAATGCTGGGTTTTATAAGACATGTGACTACTGAATTTCAATCTCTTGTTTAGAATGCTATATTTAATGCTTGTTTGTCTGATACTTTTTTCCCCTTTCCTATGAACATCGTACTACCAAAACAAAAACAACAACAACAACTCTAGAATCCATCCAAGACAAGTTTTTAAATATCATAGCATGGAAAATGAATTTACCCTCTCTTCACATAACTCATAATTATAGTCAAATTGCCACTTTAACTAATATTAGCCCTATTAACTTTCACAGAATGAATAATGAATTGTTATTCTTGTATAACTTGTGTAATAATATTAATAGTACGCAATTCATTACTGAAATTGTTGTAATATTTCTTCAATTCATTTATGAAATAACCTGTATTGTCGTTATTGCAAACAAAATTGTTGAATGTGCACTGGTGATAAATATGTGTGAGTTGGTAAATGTGATGAAGATTGACTTATCAACTTCAGTGTGCAATTTCAAATTGGTAGTAAAAAAATTAAATACTGAAGAACTTAGTTACTTGTAATTAACATTTTTTATTTCTTATTGTATTGGGTGATATCCGGCGTTGATAAATAAATAAGTTAATTATTTTTCTCCCACTAGGCATTAGTTTTATTGATTCGTTTAGATTAATCATAAAAATAATGAGTATATCTGGAAGCCTTGTTGCCAAATATTTTAGTCACTATATAACACTTTTTCTTTTTATTAATAATGATGTATTAATTTTTTCAAAATATTCATTTGAGTTCATAGGTGAAAAATTAATATATTTTTAACTAGGGATCCCGGCAATGCTTTGCAATTGCAATATATTAAATAAGTACAATTCAAGTTCAAAATCAATTTATTTAATGATGATTAATTAGTATTAATTACACTTTTCTATATTACCATACACTTCAAAAATCTAATATTCAAATAATTTTGTGCACTGCCAGCTTTTGGTTCAGGCTTCCTGCTTTCTAGATCATAACTTCAGTATTATTCAACATTATGACTTGAAGTGAGTTGTGTAGTTCAAAAAGTAATCCATAGATTGCTCTTCAAGCAAGGTCCTCTGGGAACGGCGTAGTCACCTCATCGGTCAACTTTGCAAAAACAACATCCCCACATGTCCCGTTTAAACCACTCTTTAAATACTCCAGATACTAATAAGAACAAAGTGTGCAAATTTCAGGGAAATTGGTCGAGTAGTTTTTGTGCGTATGTGACAGACATCTGCACATTCCCTTTTATTTATATATAGATTTTCAATAAATGTAAAAAATTTAGTATGAATTTTTAATTATGTAATATGAATCATATCTTAAATGTATAATTTTAAAACAGTACACTCTAAGTTGTTGGACAAATCATAAATTTTGCCCTACATTTTTTAGAAAAGCAATTTTCTAAAAGTTTATGTATTATGTATAAATTAATTTTTCATCAGTATGTTATTGATGTGGTTGTTAATGGGAAAATATGGCAAGATCTTCATATAATATTAAAAATATATTTTGTTTTCTCTCTAACTATTGTTTGAGTTGTATTGTTGTGTCTAATTTACTAACATTTAAATAATGTAATTCATATGGTTTTATTATAGTTTTCCAACCATTTAAAAGAAAATGCACGATATCTACGAGCATTGGAGCAAGGATATCAGGATTTTCAAGCTGGAGTGGAAAGTGACGGTTTAACATTATTGGAGACACTTCCTTCTTTACATAAACTAAGCAGTCAACTGACTGTGTATGCAAATTACTTATGTAAACTGCGACAATATAATTTACTGAGGTATGTTTATTTGAAACTAGTATTTTTTTGCTGTATAATTTATTATTGTTTTTAATGTTATTTATTAATTTTTTAGTGTTAATGAAGAGAATTCTCAACTAACATGCACAGAAGGTTTAGAAGCCTGTAATCGTGAGGTGGCTCAACATGTAACTTCCTTAACTAATCATTTTTTGAAATTGAGTACCTACGTGCAATTGTTAGCTGCTCAAAGTAAGCATCAATGTATTTTTTTGAATTAAGGAAAATGGTAATGCTGTAAATCTCTTATTCTACAGACAATCATTTTGTTTGAATGTTCAGTGCCCACTATTTGTCTGAGAAAGTCAGGTGTAAAACATGAAATAGATTTACAGTTTATGTTGATTTCTACTGCAGGTAGACGGACATTCCAACATCCTCCTCCTTCTCAGCGTAGATTTCTTTTGGAAGTCACAGAGATTTTGAAAGGACTTCATGAAACAATAAAAGGTATTCCTGTGATTTTGACATTTATGATATTGTGTTTTGATAATTCGAATGAGGCTCTTACTTTTTGTTGCGTGTTCTGTTTTCTAGAGAGCTATCTTTTAACACCACCCTTATTCCGGCTAATATCTTACATTTATATCAGGTGGTTGTACAAGAATAATTGTTTTGTTTCAATAGGATTTAATATGTAACTGTGTAGCTCTATTGCATTTCTAACAGCATAGTTATGTATACACTGTGTCCTGAAATTGACACTGCTCCTTTGCTGGAGGCCTATTACCATGCCTAAAAATTCTTTCTCTTCTATTTAGTTCCCATGTTTTGGAATGGTTTTAATGTATTTTCTACAATTAAAAAAAACATAGTTTGCTTCATCTTTTATCATTTGATGTGATGTGATTTTTTCATATCATAGCACAAATTCAGTTGTTGTATCACTTTGCTAAGTGTTTGTTTTATAAAGTTTGCTTCTTCTAGCTATTGAACTTTTCTTTAATTATTTTTACTTAGAAGTGTTGTAGTTGCTTCTGGTTGCTGCTGCTGTTGCTCGTGCTACCTTTGTTGTTGCTGCTGATGTTGTTGCTGATGTTGATGTTGCCACCATTTTAGTTACTTTTTTTGCAGCTGCTGTGACTGTTGCTGCTTCCCCAATAAACAAAATTCTCTAATACTCATAACCTTTTTATTATTTTTTCTTTGAAAATGTTTTCTGTTCACCTTTGATAAGGGACTTGGGACACCAGGTGTGTGTACTCGAAAAGATCACATATGAACTATATAAAGCTACAGAATAAATTATGGCTTTGTACGTATTGTTTTTATGAATAATTGAACATTCAGAACAGGGTTAAACACGTATTGTTTTATTTCACAATTTATTGAAAAACTTGCACAGAGTCCACCAAGTTCACATTATTGTTATGTTTGCATGGACTGCATGCACTTTGCTTACTGCTTCACTTTTCTCAATGATTCAAACTCGTTTCATCAAAGGTAGTGTTTACTCATTGGGGAGGAAAATATTCCTGCTCTGAGCAGATAAAATTGCGGTTACTCAAGACATTATATTCAAGTTTTGTGAAAATATGTATACCCATAGGCTGTTTTGTCTCTGATATAAACACCTGGCATGTCAACTGAGCTGAACACTGGACTTATTCTGATATCAGAAAACGCCAGAGTCAATGGTAATTATAGAGGATTGTAACTATCCCAACATCAGTTGGAATTCCAGGTACTTTGAATCTAACAGTCAACACTATCAGAATCCCTGTCATTTTATGACAGCAGTAATTTGACACAGCTGGTAACAAATCTAGCCAGACACAGAAACAGTCATTTTTGGACATTTACTCATGTATCGCCTGTTGCCAAGAGTGACCACAACCCCATTTTAATAACATTACAATATTTTACTGAAATGAAAAGAACTAGAAGTAAACTAATCTATTGGAATGAAATCAATGCAGATAGTAAGGCAATCGGTCAATGCTATACAGATGGCGTAGGTGCGCCACTGATGATACCAACTCACTTTGGAAAACCATTAAAAATAAGATTCAATTATGTGAAGAAAATATTATTTTAATGAAGGCAAAGAATCCACTGAAGCATCATAAGCCATGGAAACCCCCCAAATACTCCAGGTGATCAAACAGAGCAACCAGATAGGAAAATGTCCACAATGGGAAAACTGAATACAAAATCCATTCCAGTAAACTTAGGAATGAAATTCAATTAAAGAATGAACAACTTGTCAACAAAAAAAAAACTAGCTGTCAAGAATTCTAAACATTTTACAAATGTATAGAACGTAATTTGATAATCAAATTCTCTCCAACTCTAATACTTAGTATGTGATAGAACAGAAAACACTAATATTTATCCCAAATATTTCTTTCTTTCTTGATTGATTGATTACCATATTACAGAACAGCCATAAAGGCTAAATTTGACAATGTATAAAATAAAATTTCATTGCTCAAGTTGCAACATTTCAGTTGGTCTTATAAGAAGTATTTCAAAAAAAGCTTAGGCATAATTTTCACCAGAATTGATATTACCCCATTTGGCTGATGTTGGGGGGCCATGAATTTGATTTTTAAGGATTCTTTACATGAAGTCACAGAGATGTTTTCAATTTCCCCCCTCCCCAATCACTACAATTTTTCCCTCAGGTAAAGCAAAGTAAGATTAAAAATGGGGCAGGTCCAACTTTCTTTGAATTTTCAGAATTTTTGAAGATTGCCAAAAATACAAAATTTTAGACACCCTTTCACACACTTAATTTTGTAAGATAGACCTTTTCCCCCTTGAATCTGTTCTTCAAAATTAGATATTTACATAATGTGTATATTTTACTTTCTCATGTATTGCTTATGCAATATAGGGAAAGCATTGTAAAACTGCAGGAAAAAAACTATACTTTTGTGACAGATAAACTCGTATTGCTAGGTTCTGGTACCGAAAAATGGAATAAATCTTGTTCCAGTATGATGTAAATTACTTCATCTAACATATTTGGGAGTCGTAATCCATGTTTTGTGGGTTCTTGATATCTAAACGTCGATTGATGGCAAAACATCTGTCGGCCACATTCCTGTGTTCAGCATTAGCATGTTGCAAAGAATTGCATCATGAATTGTTGCAAACTGTTGAGCCAATTTTCTCCAAAATTGATATTCCCAAATCTATGTGAGTGAACTCAAGACCCTGTGAGTTTGAAACCAATACTTTAATTTTTTGAGGTACTTTTCACGAAGCTGCAACATTTTCTCTTAAAAAACTGTTCCTCGTATACAACCAAAGACACCTAAAGAAGTGGTATAGGTTGCATTTCTGTTCCACTCCCTGAATTATTAGAAATGGAAAAGTTCAAAATTTTTTCAAACTTCCTACAACTATAATATTGAAAATAGAATTTTTTCATTAATGGAATTTGTTTAAGAAAAACAGATCTTGAAATTCAGTCATTTTTGATTTTCAAAACTGCCCTCAAATTTTTTGCTTATTTAAAGGAAAGAATTTTTACAAAAGTGGTGCTGCTTGCATTTCCATTGAACTCCCTTAAATTTTCAGAAATTGCAAAAGTCAATTTTTTTTTCAGTGTTTTCCTACAAGTACAATATTATAGTTGGAATGTTTTTCTCAGTGAACTCTGTTCATCGAAGTTAGATCTTGAAATTAAGTCATATTAAATTTTTCAAAAATATAAGTAGTTTTGTGAGACAGGCAATTTTCAAACAATTTTAAATAATTATTTTCTGAAAAGGAGTTTAAATTTTTTTCTTCTCTGTAGCAAGAAACAGCAGAAAATATGGTGTTGATCCCACTTTAACAACTACAACCTCACAAGGTCTTTTCAACTGAAATGCAAAGTTGGGAAGCCATCAACCTAAATAGAATAGTAATTGTTTTCATAGAAACCTGTACAAAAATTTGTTTGAAAGAGTTGGTGTGAAATGAAACTTTATATCAGTTTTTGTTAAATCAGCGAGTTAACAATTCACTTCAAAACTAGGTAATTACTTCAATTTAAACTAATTTTCTTCACTACCTTGATGTATAGATGCAAATGGTACACTGTTATTTATCACAAATGACATCAGTCAGACTAGATGGTAACTTGATAAATGGTTCTACTTCAGGATCCATGCTTATAGTAAACCCAGTGCCAATGCACAAAATACTCTGTGCCTGAAGACTGAAGAGGAGTATGGAAGTGCCTTTTGTGTCAACAAGTATGGTTTTAGCAGCAAACACATTCTGATTAAAAGATTTGTCCCAAGTAGTGTAACATAGATGTCAGCCACTCAGCTTATATAGGTATTTCAATTTAAAATCAAAATATTCAAGCTTGAATGTAGCAGATAATCAAAATTACATAAATAAAAATTGTATATAAAATATTAAATACATATTTAAATGTATATGTGCATGAACAATACAATTGTCAACAAAGTTCAATAATTTAACATCCACTACACATACTTGTGAGCACAAAAATCACAGTTGGAAAAGTGCATTCATAAATATGATTAAGTTATTGTTAATTGGACGACTGACAATCTATCGATGAAACTTTCTTTGAATTATCAAAGCGTCATTCACAGACATCCCTGAAGAGACGTATCTGATTTGTATTATAATTTGCAGGTGTTACTATACAACATTGAACTTTATATGATAGAAGTTGTCACAATCTTATCACAAAATAAAATAATGGTTAATCCCTATAAGGCAGTACAGACAAGTGTTCCCAGTAGCTACAATGAGCAAGATGTAATTAGAAGTCATCTCAGAATAAATAATGAAAGATTACTTGCTCTTTACAGACAGTCTGAATTGTAGGTGCAACAACAATGTAAAATGAAATGGTTCACATTTTTACAAGATATTATTGACAAGTTATTTATTGTGGAATTTCGCCATCCCCGAAATGTGCCACCTGGGGGTGGGTATTCCTGCCGCCCCCACTACGCTACGTCACTGTTTGTCCTTCACCTGATGCTTGGTACTCTCATTGTCAAAAGGCAATGTGGTATTATTGTTTACAAAATAAATGCTTGAGTGTTAATATTAATTGAGGTGTCCTGTGTTTGGATTCTTGAAGGTATTAAATAATGTTGTAATGATTTTCATCAGTAGTGGTAACTGATTTGCTTTTAATGTTCTTGCTGTTAATGTCCAAGTGTCATCTCTAGGACAATTGGACCAAAAAAAAAAGTCAGCCATTACAATTTATGTCTGTTAATTGAGGTGAACACTCAATTCCAATACCCAATAGAATATGATACACTTTTTCATTAATTATTTGTGATTTAATTTTAACTTTGTGTCTTTAATTTTGGTAGATCTTTCTCGAGCATACAGTACGAAGAGTCGGTTGGAACATGAACTACCTACTTCAGCAGAAAGACTGCTAACTGCAGATGAGTGTCTTGAAAAATCTTTGACAGCAATGGTTGCTGCCAGTTCAAAGGTTTGTTGTTTTTCCAGCTACATTGGTTTTAGTGACAGCTCATCCATTTTGATGTAAATATTTAATCGTTTTATTCTTTAAGCAAATGTTTATAATGATAATAAACTATTTTTAGAATAATTTTTTTCTGATTCTTCTCCTGCTTCTTCTTTTTCTTCTTCTTCTTTTTCTTCTTCTTTCTCCTCCTCCTCCTCTTCTTTCTCCTCCTCCTCTTCTTCTTCCTCCTCCTCCTCCTCCTCCTCCTCCTCTTCCTCCTCCTCCTCCTCTTCTTCTTCTTCTCTTCTTCTCTTCTTCTTCTTCTTCTTCTTCTTCTTCTTCCTTCTCTTCTTCTTCTCTCCTCCTCCTCTCCCTCCTCGCTCTTCTTCTTCTATCCTACCTCCTTCCTCCTCCTCCTCTTCTTCTTCTTCTACTCCTCCTGCCTCTTCTTCTTCTTCTACCTCCTCCTCCTCCTTCTTCTCCTTCTTCTTCTCCTCCTCTTCCTCCTTCCTCCTCCCTTCCTCCTCCTCTTCCTCCTCCTCCTCCTCTTCCTCCTCCTTCTCCCTCCTCCTCTTCCTCCTTCCTCTTCCTCCCTCTTTCCTCCTCCTGCCTTCTTCCTCCTCCTCCTCTCCTTCTCTCTCATCTTCCCTCATCTTCCTCCTGCCTTCCTATCTCCTCTCATCCTCTTCTTATTCCTCCTCTTCTTCTGGCTTCTGCTAACTCGCTCCCCTCCTCCTCGTTCCGTTCTCGATCCTCCTCCCACTCGCTCCCCCTCCCCTCGCTCCCCCTCGCTCCCATCCCCTCGTTCCCCTCCCCTCGCTCCCCCCCAGGCTCCCCCGCTCCTCCCCTCCCCCTCGCTCCCCCCTCGTCCCTCCCTCGCCCCCTCCCTCCCCCCACTTCTCCCATCCCCCTCGCTCTCCCCTCCCCTCGCTCCCCTCCCCACGTTCTCCCCATCCCCCTCGTTCCCCTCCCTCGCTCCCCCTCCCCCACGTTCTCCCATCCCCCTCGCTCTCCAATTCCCCTCGCTCCCCCACCCTCTCTCCCCACCCCGCTCCCCTCGCTCCTCCCCCCCCTCCTCCCCCTGCCTGCCCCCCCACCCCCGCCTCCCCCTCGCCCTCCCCCTCCCCCCCGCTCCCCTACCTGCCTCGCCCGTCGCCTGCCCCACCCCGGCCTCCCCCTCGCTCCTCCACCCTGCCCTCCCCCTCTCTCCCCCTTCAAGTGTTTGTGTAATGGTTTTTAGATGATGTTTTATAAAATCATTTTAATTTTTGACATTAATATTTTGGAGTCAATGTTGCATTATTTTGCTTTGGTGAGTGAAGAGCATATTGTGGATAATATTGATGTTGAAACAATGTTGTGGTTTTGGGTTTGTTAAGATTTGGAAATTCTTGGAATAAAATTTGTAAATAAACATACGAAACAATACAAAAAGTACTTACACAACTTTGATTTCTATTTTCAGCTGGCAGGTGTATTGTCGGATAGTCGTGCAGAGTTATGGAAATCTATTGGACCTGTATCAAATAATCCCAGAGTCCGAAATCATCCAGTTGTAACAGCTTTTAAGAAAAGAGCTGCATCTTATATAAATTTTCTTGAACAGGTGATATTTGTGAATTATCATTACCACTTATTACAGAGAACAGATAAGAATGTTGCAAGTTGCATATTTTGTTGTAATTTTTTGTTCTACATTTTTCCTTCATAATCTTATCTTTTGTTATAATTAAGTTCTCAATTTCTGGAAAATCCCAGAAAAAATTCATAGAATTTTGCTGGTGGTCAGGAAATTTTTTCTATACGTATATAATTTCATATAATTTTGATTTTTTTTGTTTAATTTCATTTTTTAACTACCACAGCTTCTGGTAAAACACCCATCCCCCACCTGGATCAGTTTTTTGAATCAATTGAACAAATTTTCAGATAACCCAATGCTTTGCTTCTGAACATAAATGTAGTTTCATGTCTTGTGTATGTTTTCTTGAGATACAGAATTCCTGCTCTTTCTGTTTTATTGTACTCAGTTGAATTATGTATGTCGCAATCAGCATTTTTTACAAAATTTGCTAACTATAAATATTTACCCTTGTGTTTTACCCCACACTATTTGTATCAGGAAATATGCAACAGATTTTGACTTTTATCTCTTATCATTTGTTCACCTGAAGGAATCTAATCTCCCTCAAAAAAATGGAGACTGATTGTTTCATGTTACTGCTGATAAAATTATTCTCCACTAACATCCCGCAGAGTTCAAGAAAATTCATAAAGAGAAACTTAATTTTTGTCCCGAAGCCATGCTGATCATCTTATTGTTTGCTGAAGGAACTGAGGGAATCTTAACAAAAAACCTATTAGAGACAGGAGTCGTTTACCCAGAAACTTCAGTACAATACTTGTTATAAGCATATTTAGCCTTTTAGAATTATATGCTACCTTGCATTAATATCATTATTAAAATAAAAATTGTTTTTTAATTTTCCCAGGATTGCCTGCAATATGTAGACTCGTGCCAGTGTCTGCAATGTTTCTCTCAGATATAACTGCAACTTGTTGTGAATGTAAATGATCTAAAGCTCTATGTACTGAAATATGTATTTTATTTGGTTTGTACATGTCCCCCAATGCCATTATTATTGAATCTGCACTGCAGAAATGTCTTAATACTTATGGTGAGAAAGGTAAAAATTTACTAAAAATATGCAAAAATCATTAACATCTTATTTTCTTGTTAAATTATAGTAAATATAATTCCCACAAATGATTTTGTTTGCATGTTCTAAACAAAAATATGTTTTATATTTTTCACAAAAATATTTACAAAGCCTGTCTTTTTTCAGTTTTGCAAGGTTTGCATTTTTTTTCATTTCCTTACAGATCCCTGCACATCATCTTTCCTTTTGTTAAGAAATTGTGGCAATGTATCCTAGATAAGACAGTTGGTGTCATGTTCTGTTGGTTCTTCTCATAGACACGGCTGAAAATAATGCCATGACTCATGCCGCTTACGCCAGGAGCTCAGAATGCTTTGGTGCCATTGTACGCAATGTTTCTGATGGATATCATACAGCGATCAAGTTTCAACGTGCTAACGGGAAATGATTCAATGAAAGCATAAAAATAGAAGGTCAGGGGTTCACAGAAAAGTACAATGAAGGAATAGATGAAATATTAGACGACTAATGCATTACAATAATTCTAGAACATAAAATTGCCGTGAATTGGATCTCGCAGATCTATTGGCGAGCACTTCTGGATTAAGTGTATAGAAACAGCTATGATGCAGAAAAGATTTTTATGGGCAATTTAATTTGGAATCAGTTTTAATTTTTTAATGCCATTTGCCAATGTAAAATAACATTCATGAATTATATTTAAATTAGTACCTGTATTGAACACAAAATGAAGTTCATTATGGTATGCATTCAGAATTCTTTCAAATTCTGTCAGCCTTTGTGCAGCTCATTGCATGTATCTTGCAAATTTACTTTCTCACCTGAGATATGGCATAATATTCTGGGGAAGCTCATCCTAATGTGCCCCAACTTTCAAATTGCATGAAAACATTGTACAAATAATAAGCAAATGCCATTCACATGCTTTCTGCATAACTCTCTTCATTGAAATTGGAATCTTTCTATTGCCTTACCTATTTTAAAAACTATATATTTATGAATCTTTAGTGTTTGGCAAAACTTATTTTTTTGGGGGGAACAAATATTTTGTCATGCAATACTAATGTTTACAACTGTAGCAAACATTGTTGAAATCGCATATATCAGGTATCAGTATCAATACATGTGTACAAGAAGGCCACATATAATAAATTTTACAATGTATTGCCACATGACATTAATAGCTATTAACATACCTAGAAATGTTATGAGTGTTATTACTGCAGAGGCCGAAAGTTAAAAATCAAGCTGGAGCTTGGCAGAGCAGAGTGGAGCCAAGAAAGTTCTGTGATAGTTAACAAATGAATTCTGTTGCTGCGTGACGTTACCACGATGTGGTGGGGTGTTGCTTGCGATGTATTTTAACATTAACCGTATACTGTGTTTTAAGAAAAGATGGTTTTAAGAATAATCGTCCTGAACCAAAAGATACCTAAGGAAATGACATTCAAAGAAGTTGGCAGTTCGGCTCCCATTAGTGACACTTTCAGAACATCAGTAAAAATGATTACCGGAGAAGTTTCATTTGGTGGAACGACAGGAAAATGAGGTTAATTTACCTAATATGCATTTTTAACTGCACTATTAATATTACAATTAACAATAATGATCCCCAAAACTAATATGAAATACTTGTATTCTGAATTGTTTGGATCTGTTTTGCACAAAACTTTGCCAGTTTTTATTTTTTTTATTTTTAATACACATTTGCCCTGTGATGAATCGATGGTTCTTTCTTTTCAGTGCTAAGGATGTTAAATTTCTTAACATATAGGTAGGTATTCACTTAACAACCTCTAGTGTTGCATGTTAACAGGGGTTAAAGATGCATGTAACTGATAAAAATTACAATTGATACACAAGTTTTCATTCAGAGTAAATTTTCTTCTGCTGCATAGCTGTTTTCATACAATTAAGGCTACCTGGCCACCAAAAGAAAAATAGTATTTATTTTAATAATGCTACATAATGCATTAATTAACATTTGTATTCTATAATTTTAAAAAAAACTTAATATGCCCGTAACAATAACGTACTTCAGCTTTTAGGTTCAATACCCCCATCGTGACCAGTTTTTGTCCTGTTTCCCTGATCCATTGAGCAATTGCTGAGATGGCTCCTTATTTTGCTTCTGGACATAAAAGTAGCTTCACTCTGTGCACATTTCATTGAACTCTCCTTTCGCTACTTGTGGTAGGAGTAGATCTGCGGTTATGGTTTTGTGGTTAGCAATATTAAAAACTCAAATCTGCAGTTCATTTTCTGATGCAAATATGTTTTCTTTAACTCAGAAGTGAAAATGTGTAGTTTTCAAATGTTGCTAACCTTCCTTTGTTGGTACTGTTATTCATCATTCAACTATTTATTGTTAAAGGGTTGGGAAGAGTTTCTGGCGCCTAAGAAAACTTGCGGAAATTGTACTTCTCCCTTGTAGGCTTCGTAGAATTTTACTGATTTTTGATTTTAAAAAATCGATTTTTGTTTTAAGCGAACTGTCGGTTCTGTCATGTGATGTTAGTGAAAATATGAAGAATACTCAGAAACCAATTCCTCACTTTTTCTCTTTGGAAATACTTATTCAAACATCATGAAATTTACACACAATATTAAAGCATGGTTATTTTGCTTACTCTTATTTTTCAACATAATTTTCATCAATATGAACCAGCACCAGAATCACTGTCTACATCTTTGCCTTTGTCCAGCCTGCACAAGGACAAGCATGCCTTGCCTTGCTCTTGTCCTGGGAATATAGTCATCCCTTTATTTCATGGATAACGCAGCGCCATCTGTGGTGATGCCACTCTAGGATACACACATCCTGTGAATATCCTAAAGAGGAAAGCCTCTCACTCATTATGAAACTCCTCCAACAATTCTGAATAGATTGTCTTCCTAAAGAATCTGTGACCTGCTGCCCCAAGATTCCATGGAACCCGTTGAGTGCACAAGACCCATCTGGTCCAAGCTATGTTATAAATACATCAGCACATTCCTTTCTCACTGAAAGCTGTAGAGCCAGTTTCTCTGTTGTCATACCTATCAGTCCTATATGTCACTATCAATCTACCTCAATGTGAAAACATAAATTACAATATATAATTTCATAGCAGGAGGAACCACCGTCTGTGCCTTACGAGGAGGCACTGCAGGAACGTGAAGAAGCAAGAAGTAGTGCAGTAAGCCATGAATCTTTAACTGAACAATTAACTCAGTGCCGAGAGCGTGCTACTAAATTGGAAAAGGAACGTGAGCATTGGCGCTTAGAGTATCAGCTACTCCAGCTTAGTCACCGCAAGGTAAGTTATTATCTTATTGGAGCCAAATATGAAGCCTTTGTTGACCTTCAATTGACGAGTTTATTTCTGTTGTAACATATCTACATTTCTGTTTTCTAGTTTAATGTATCAATATATTCTCCATCATGCTGCCAAATATTGTGTTAAAATATTGTGTTTTTCTTATGAATTCTATCTTGCATTACAGGGCTGAAAGGGAATACTTTCTCTCTCTCCGACAATTGTATTTGTGGAATATACAAAACTTTAATAATACATTCTTGAATTATTGTTTGAATATATCCGTCTCCATCTCCTTTGTCTTTGCCTTCTTTGTCATCCTCGCCTCCTTCGTCTTTGCCTTCTTTGTCATCCTTGCCTCCTTCATCTTTGCCTTCTTCGTTGTCTTCGCCTCCTTTGTCTTCTTCATTGCTTCTTCATCTTCCCTCACAGCATCGTCTCCAAAATCTATTTATTTACAAAATACATGGTCAAGCAGGATAATCCTGATAATGTCCATGATAAAACAATGAAACAAAAGGGAATGAAATATAAAATTACAGTAACAGTTCAGTAGTTGCTACTGTATTTATTGTGCTTTCATGTGCTTGCTTAAAGACCAGACTTCCGTTCCACATCTTCAATTTTCAACCAGTGATTTAAATATGTGTTTCTTCATTTCTATTCTTATATTTTGGCTCCATAACACAGAATTTATGTAGAAACTATAGTTCAACATTTTTTATATTTTCTATGATATAAAAATTGTCTCTGTTTTCTTGCTTTAATATCACTCCAAGATATTTGTATTTAGTAGTATTTTTTATTGCTTCTGAAAATATTGAAATCGAGACCCTCACTTCCTAGTACTATAAATTCAGTTTTTTTGCATATTGATTTCTAGATCCCATTCTTTGTATTCTTCCTGAAGCTTTCTAGTCATATAGGTAATATCTTTGTCTTCCATAAGTACAACTTGCTCCTCAGCAAACAGTAAATAAATCCCGTCGAGGTCGGTCCACCTCCTGGTTGAGGTGGGTCAGTTCTCGTCCTGATGGAGAGAAACAGAGAAGACTCTCATGTGTTCCTTTCTCCATATTTCATTCTCTTACTTTTCATTTCATATGTCACCTACCATCTTTTATTACTCTATTTTTCTTCTTCACTGGCTTTCTCTGTATGCTGAACGCCCACCCATGTGCTTGGTGACTGATGTCGAAGGGAGTGGATGACCTAGAAGTTGAGGGATCTGTGCATGCTTTTTCGACTGCCGCCTTGAAGCCGGATGTTTGTAGGTAGACCTGATCTAGCCATTTTCCCTATTACACCGGTGAGCCCTGTTGACTGAAGGGAGGTCCCAACACACTTTCTTTGGCCACGGACCCTTCTAGACGGGCGGTCGGGAGCTAACCCACTCTCGTACAAACTGCTCGGGCAGCGCTATGAAATCCCCCCACACTATATCTCCGTGTCAGCCCTGGCACTCCAGCGATGTGTCCCCGCGTTGGACTCAATGTGGGTGAGGAGCACGGAGAAGGATTACTGTCCATCGTATGAATACCAAATCCCCCCTCCTGCCCTCCCCACTCGCAAGGAAGAGATTTCGGGAACGTGGTATCGATTAAAATAATTTCTTTCAAAAGGACGAAGGCAGACCGAAGAAGAATCATTTCCTCCTCATGGCATGCCCCGAGGATGGAAAATCTTTCAGATATAGTTGTGTTCCTGAAGGAGGAAGAGAGAGAGAGAGAGAGCACGTGAGAAAGAAAGAGATAGCGAGCGCGCGAGAAAGAGAGAGATAGCGAGCGCGCGAGAAAGAGAGAGATAGCGAGCGCGCGAGAAAGAGAGAGATAGCAAGCGCGCGAGAAAGAGAGAGATAGCGAGCGAGCGAGAAAGAGAGAGATAGCGAGCGAGCGAGAAAGAGAGAGATAGCGAGCGAGAAAATTAGAGCGAGCGAGCGAGAAAGATTGAGCGAGCGACAAAGATTGAGCGAGCGACAAAGATTGAGCGAGCGACAAAGATTGAGCGAGCGAGAAAGATTGAGCGAGCGAGAAAGATTGAGCGAGCGAGAAAGATTGAGCGAGCGAGAAAGAGAGAGAGCGAGAGAGCTCGCGAGAAAGAGAGCGAGAGAAAGAGCGCGAGAAAGAGAGAGAGCACGCGCGCGAGAAAGAGAGAGAGAGCGCCCGCGAGAGAGAGAGAGCGCGCGCGAGAGAGAGCACACGCGAGAGAGAGTGCGCGCGAGAGAGAGCGCGCGTGAGGGAGAAAGAGAGCGCGCGCGGAGAGAGAAAGAGAGAGAGAGCGCGGGAGAGAGAAAGAGATAGAGCGCGAGGGAGAAAGAGAGCGCGCGAGGGAGAGAAAGAGAGAGCGCGAGGGAGAGAAAGAGAAAGCGCGCAAGGGAGAGAGAGCGCGCGAGCGAGAGAGATAGCGCGCGCGAAAGAGAAAGCGAGCGAGAGAGCGCGAGAAAGAGAGCTAGAGAGAGCGAGAAAGAGAAAGAGAGAGCAAGAGAAAGCGCGCGCGAGAAAGAGAGCGAGAGAAAGCGCAAGAAAGAGAGAGCGCGAGAGAGATAGCGCGCGAGAGATAGAGAGCGAGCGAGCGAGAGAAAGAACGCGTGCGAGAGAGAGAGAGAGAGCGCGCGCGAGGGGGAGAGAAAGAGAGAGCGCGAGGGAGAGAGCGCGCGCATGCTAGGGAGAGAGAGAGCGCGCGCGAGAGAGAGATAGAGAGCGCGAGGGAGAGCGAGAGCGCGAGGGAGAGCGAGAGCGCGAGGGAGAGCGAGAGCGCGAGGGAGAGCGCGAGAAAGAGTGACAGAGAAAGAGAGCGAGCGAGAAAAAGAAAGCGAGCGAGAAAGAGAGCGAGGGGGCGCGAGAAAGAGAGAGCGAGGGGGCGCGAGAGAGAGCGAGGGGGCGCGAGAAAGAGAGAGCGAGAGAGATAAAGAGAGCGAGAGAGAGCGCGCGAGAGAGAGGGCGCGCGCGAGAGAGAGAGGGCGCGCGCGAGAGAGAGAGAGAGAGGGCGCGCGCGAGAGAGGGCGCGCGCGAGAGAGAGGGGGCGCGCGCGAGAGAGAGGGGGAGCGCGAGAGAGAGAGAGGGCGCGCGCGAGAGAGAGAGAGGGCGCGCGCGAGAGAGAGAGGGCGCGCGC